AAAAAAAAAAAATACGTGGTTAATCCTGCGATCCTGTTGTGTAGCTTAAGTTCTAATTGTGTGATTGGCACATTTTTTTTTGTTTTTCCCCCTCTCTCTGCCCAGCTTTCCCAGCCAGCTGTAAGCATTGAAGGACAGGTATCAAATCCTCCATCTACTAGTAGCACAGAAGTGAATTCTCAGACCATTCCTGAGAAGCAGCCCTCACAGGAAGTGAAAATGGAGGCGAAAATGGAAGTGGATCATCCAGAACCAGCAGATACTCAGCCAGAGGATATTCCAGAGGTGAGAGTAGGGCAGTTACTGCTATGATTTGGTCAAGACCTTAGTCTAGGAACCCAATTTTTAAAAATCAGTATTGCAGGAAAGTAATCTGATAATTAGGTCTTATCGGGTCTTATGATTTTCATGTGAGAAAGAGTATTCAGATATGTCCACAGGGGAAGAGTAAATGTAATGATAATGATCGTATTGCTTCCCAGTTGGATATGTTTGCAATACTAAAAATTCCTACCTTGTCTTTTAGACTAAAGCAGAAAACTGTAAGGTGGAGCCTACAGAAACAGAAGAGAGAGGCACTGAGTTAAAAACTGAAATAAAAGAGGAGGAAGACCAGCCAAGTACTTCAGCTACCCAGTCATCTCCAGCTTCAGGACAGTCAAAGAAAAAGAGTAAGTCTCTTAGGCTATCTGCTCCTGGGGGCAAAGACCCAGAGTAGACTGGTGTCAGGCCCCTTGGGCTTCAGAAATTGACGTTAATGTAATTTCATCAAGTGTGAATCCCTGGGCCTAGTCTCTTTGTTGTTACTAATGTTGGAAAAGAATTTTTCTTTCCTTTAGGTGTATTCACTTGGTATAACCACTGGGTCAGTCATATTCCTCATTTCTTCAGGGCATGGTACGTGGTTAGCACTCTCTAAAAATTACCTCTTTTTCAGAAGCAAGAAATTGTTAAATAGGCTGACTGGTTAGCTCTGTCGGTTAGAGTGTAGTTTTATAACACCAAGGTCAAGGGTTTGGATCTGCATGATCAGACAGCTGTCAAAAAAAAAAAAAAA